ACTAATTCGCTGGGTCGTGTAATCTCATGCCCACGTCCTAAAGATGTTTCCGGGCCCAACTGTGCGGCGTACTGTCAAGAAGACGTGCTTCTGGACCTTACAACTTCAGGGGATCCGAATCTGAATATCATTAATCGTTCCTGTCAGACGACTACCAGAGATATCACCATTTCGGGCTCGAATACATCATTCGTTTCAGCATCAACTCTTCAAACGAAAAGCCCTTTAGCTACAAGTAAGTTTGACTCTTGTCGTCTGCTCAAGAATTTCCGATGAGCTTATTTGTGTACTTAAGTATTTGCCACCAAGTGATGTCTATTAATTTGCTTTACTGCTGTTACTTAAGTATTTCCCAATAAAATTCCATTCCGAGTGTATACACTCATAGAGATAACTTATGTTGTGTTCTTTATCACTAAGTACACGGGAAATTGTAGCCTTATTTGGCATACATCTTCAGTAATCTCTTATCTTGGTGTGAGCCTTTTTGGTATTTGTTGTTATCGCCAATTTCATCGGTTTATTTTGCTGGGAGGATCACAGGCTTGTTTAGACCATTTATTGTAATCAGATTAGATTTTAAAAACTATTTCCCAGGATCTTTTTCCTGCTGCCTAATTTTCAGGATCAGATACAAATATTGTAAGAGCTCTAATCACTCTATGTCACTTCAAATGATGAAGGACTGATAGGGAAATCACCCACAATGAGATCGATATGTCTCACAATGCCAGTGATTTTCACCTATTTTCATCCTGTGTGCTCTGTAATTTTGACCTTGCCGCCTCTCATAAGTACCCCCAGCGGAAATCGAGCCCGCTACATAATTTCCACATGCTACCGTAGCGCAACACTATCACTCGCGCCAGTCAGTCACAGGACGGAAAGGGGTTTCAAAGCACGCTAGGCTATCACATTTTATAATGGGATTGCCTCTGAAGTGAGCATATATTTGTCATTACAGTCTACAACATTATTTATATGACATGTATTCACCTTGCTTTGCTTAAGGTGATACGATGACTGGTGGTTGAATTTTTCCACAACGATATAAGCAGACTTTAGATTTCCACTACTCTCAGTATATCATATATATGAAATATATTCATCCAATTGTTATAACGGGTACAAATGTGCTCCATCGACAATCCCATCACAGAATATGATATGAGAAAATACCTGGCCTTCCTTGAGATTCAAATCTGCCATGTGACCCTAGGGCACTCGTGGCAGTCTGGTGTAATGATTAACGTGCTTATAATATATGCTGTGCTATCATGATTTGAGTGTTAGTTGAGGTCGAAACTACAATTCACTCTTGCCCGGATGATTAATACCTTTTAGGAAGCAAGGCTATGCAAAATTCAATGGAAACGCAAGGTCCATTCATATGATTATTAGAAATTTCAATTACACGTCCGCTTATCGCCTTAAACAAAATATGGTGAATACGTCTCACATATATGATCTACTGGTAGTCTCGAAAATTTGCTTGTAAAACGTTACTTGCATTCGATTTTATTAGATTTACGAGGCTATTAGGAGATCTTCAGTAAGAAGCATATTTAGTGTGTGAAAATTCACTATCAGCCCTTCAATACCTTATGTGATATAGGATGACTAAAGTTCTTATTCATAATCTGAATGCGAGTAACATCGGCTCTAATTGCAAATACATGTTTTCTTAGCTTGCCTTTAAATTTCTTCTGTCCTGTGCCTGACTGGCACTCGTGGCAGTGTGTAGTAGTAGCAACATTTCGAACCTATACACTGCATAGTCCAGGCTCGACTACCGTAGGGGGTGCTCATGAGGTCTAGGAGATGTTAAAATTGCAGGATGAGAATACCTTTTAAGAGACAATATTAGGCGAAATTTAGTGATATCGTGAGGTATACCCATCTTATAATGGAAAAATTTAGTATCAGTCCTTCATCCCTCTTAAGTGAGCCAGAGGGATCATGGAATTTTAGTATTAGGCCTCTACACATAATCTCAGTACAATATTTACTCAATTTGGGAGAAGCAACGCTTGGCATATCTTGTAGGTAATTCAGTCTCCGCAAAACATACCCACTTTAGCGTCGCATTATCGCAGTGCATTCATAATCGCTTAGTTATCCAATAACCAGGAGCACACTATAGCCATTTAATCGATCCATTATAGATCTATCTAGTCATAAGGCCTACGTACACTCGGGACTAGCCTCAGGATATTTCACACTTTTTTCTGTCGAGGCAATCAGGGCACGATAATCAAGCAACACAAGTCCTCTACTTTCTTCATGTATCTAGGCCGAACCTCGACAAATATTAACAGGGTAACTTCATTTTATATCCTTCTGCTCTTTTTCTTATTTTTCTTTTCAATTTCACAATTTTCTCTCCGCCTTCTTTTTTGGGTTCGATTACGTGAAAGACAAACCGACGACCAGCATCTAGGAGTCATCATAAAATACCTTCGTTGGTGCTTTCTATTAATCAGACTTCTATTAACTGATCCCTGCCGCCATCCTCTTTAGAATGGCTTACTGCTTTTATTCGGATTTAGCCCCTTTATACTGTATTCAATGAATTATTCACATTGACTATTCTCTATATACGAGGTCTTCACCGTGAATGGCTCCAAAAGTAGGTGCTGCAGTACCGGCCACATTTGTCCATGTTTCCCTATAAGTACGATCAATAGAGCCAAAATATTATCCACGGCATCCTCTTATGAGACGGATGTTGTCGATAGATGAATCTATATAGAATGATAATTTTCCTCTTACTCTTGAGAATAGAAACTAAATTTTTAATTCCTGATATGCTTTTATAAACCTAAATTGATTTGTGAAATTTCTTTTTTCATCGAAGATTCAGAGGCAACGATATCACCCTCTACTTATTATTTTATCCTGATCTTTCACTTGTTGACTGCCTCTGCATATCTTTCTATATGAGAATATAATTTTTTAACGATTTACTCTAAACCATTTATCAGACAATGCTCATTACAATTAATTTTAACACACCTCTTTTAAATCGATAAAACGAACAGTATTTCTCATTTCGGCAATTCTACTTCACATCGTCTAAGGGTTGTTTCTTGTCGACTTTCAACAAATATTTTCTAACATATGTGGTTTATATGTGCTCCCGGACGTCACTACTTTGTTTGATGTTACCTGAATTGAGTTATTTATTCATTCTTATGCATGACGTCAACATATACTCTAATTGAAACTCAAGGGATCAAAAATAGCTATTTTTTCGTTAATATTATTATCATTAATGATGAATCCTAAAAGTGTTAGACTAAACTCATAAGCTTGTTTCTTCCCCGAGGAGCCTTTCGTTACGGGTGAATTTGGGCAAGCTCCATATTTGGTATTATTGTATATTTTAAAACAATACATTGATCTCTTAAAATTTACGAGATGGTATTTAAATCGTTCCTAAATATTAAGTAAGTTTCCCTTCTTTATAACTAGGTATTTTCTAAGATACCCATCTTCTAAGTCTCAAATTGATCCTTATTTTATTCAGAGCACTACTAACCATTTTTATAATGACGGTTATTTTTAGATTACTTTTCATCTAATAGTTTTTGTAGATTGAGGGATAGTCCAAGAATTTTTAGTTGGATTACCCACAGGTAAGTGAGGGAAAACCTAACTTTACCACTAACCATCACCTATCCTTATTCCTAATAAGTCTTCTCATTTAGGCCTACTTTAGTTTCAACTTCTACAAAATCGGAAACCAGGTGCCTTGTCCCACTGATCGAGATTCATTGTTTCACTTTAAATTTTTGCTTTAGGGACGTGTGTGCACGAGGAAAATGTGTGTAGAATTTTGTTAACCTAAATCTCATCTTTCTATATTTATATTGAAAAGTATTGTGCTTCGAGATAATTAAGACAGACTAAAAATACATTTTATTTTTGATGCATTTTACCTTTTCGCTTCTAGGCCTTGATTCTTCTATAAATACGAATAAAGTATTAGTCGACGTGAAATCATCCATTTGCCTCGCTTCTTCACGTTCTGATCTCAATAATTCCACCATGTTGACGCCATCTTCACTAGCCCGACTTTCACTGCGTCGGAGGGCTATTCCACGCGTCCCAACCTCTGCCATCCAGGCAAATTCATCTATAGACGCAGCTACATCATTTGAATCACCATTTTCTCCAGCCGGTTGCCGAAAGCGTACAAGGAGGCGGCTGCCATCATTTCGACAGACGTTATCCACGACACGAATGG